TGATTTTCTCTGTCATTGTTTCACAGTTGACCTTTTGGTCATACGTTATCTTTTTAGGCTTTTGAACAAAGAGGGTGTGCTGTTGGCATATTCTGGCTACGACGAAAACAGGGCAGGCATGATCGCTGCGATTTCAGCCAACATTTGGAACAGTTACGAGAAGAACGGCCTCGAAAGTTTTCACGATGACAAGCTGAAGTGGCTGCTCATTCAGTGTTCGGTGCGTTTAAATGATGATTCGGATTACTTTATTCAAATGCAAGATTTCAGGTCGGTAAAGTTGCCATCACCAAAGTGATGAATGTACTCATTTGCATGCAAGCTACGGAGAAGATCGAATCAGGCATGTTGAAGTCAAAGGTTGGTAATGGCGTTTAAGTAACTTCCTGGAGGCTGCGTTCACAGAGTGACTGTCTTCCAGTTTGTCTCTTCGTATAACCTCAGTTGTGATCACACATGTTATGTATTGACTAACTTCGATAAGAGCGCAGAAGTAAAGTTTGTTAATAACTTGTAACAGCTTTTTTTCTTTGTATCGTCGACTGTCTACTGCCGACCGGAACAGCTGCTCTGCCTTGCCTTTGTATTGCAGTTCGGCGTGTGATAACTGGTAGTAAATTACGTACAGTGTTTCGTCTTCAACACTGCTTACTAAGGCTCTGCACGAAGATCACCATGAACGCAGTCAATTTAGGCGAACTTTGCTGTCAATGTTAGACGAGTTTTTCATCCAGGATTCGTCCTAAATGTCTTCAGAAACAAAGCAGTATATCTGAGTTAATTTTCCGATGACGATCGTTTTCCCTGATTGAAGTCGTGGTTACTCAGTCGATTCTGAACAAAAGGTCCAGAGTTCGAGCTTCGGCCATGTTAGTCACCTTTCTTACTTCCGAGGTTTATAAATGATTACCATTCTTCGGGATGGAAGCAGGAAATATTATTCTTGCAATGTAACTCTTGTCCACTCTACGTTTAAAATGAATCATTCTTAGCTGGTGGCATGGAAATTAAGATCAGCTCTCCACCTTTAACTTTGTTAAAAGAGGGACACCAGAAATGGCCTCAAGATGAGAGTGTAGGGAAGATCATTCTAACGGTTACCAACTGCCCTTTTTTCTTTCCTCCCAGTCGAAATTTGTTTATTTGGAGTGGAATGGCCACTCATTTGCGGTTCTCTCGACCAGAAATCTTTCCCTTAAAAATGTCAGCCAGTAGAAAATACGAATGTCAGTGGTTCAGTAATGTTCTTTCGCACCGCAGTTCTTCGATTTCGACCATCCAGTTGGCCATCAGTCAGGCGGTTTTTTCGAACTGCTTAACCTTTCAGATATCCTTTCGTCCTGTGAACGACAGCAGCGTTCTACAATGTTTGCAACATTCAAAATTTCATGCCAGCGTCTGAGCTTCGGCAGAAGATGAGCCGAATTTTTAATAAAGTCCATCGAGGCATTTGCCCCCAGATCATTCTTGATTGTCCCCATGGTCTTTGGCCGGTCGGTTGACGAAATTGCAGCTGTTTCATTTTTCTTTCTAGAGACATTCACCTTTTGTAGTCTTACGTTTTTTTTTCGTGGACTTCCGTTCGCGCTTAAGCGACAGCCATCATGACGAAATAAATGATTTCATTATGTTTTCTTTAGAAATCATTTCAGACGGTGACTATTAGAATTTCTTCTATCAAAGACTGAGAAATACCCAAGTTTTTGACAACTGGCATTCGTAACAAAACTTTCTATAGATAACTGCGGTAACTGAGGGATATGCACTCCAACAGAGCTCTTTTTTGTCTAGCGATCCTCTTCGGCTGTTGTCAGCTCTCTGTGACCGACACTTCAAGGTTGAATTATTCTTCTAAATTTCAATGGCATTGCAAACGCCGTGACCATTTCTCGAAACGTTATGCTCTAGACATAGCGTCAGCTTTTAAGTGAAATCCTTTTATTCATCTTTTTGACTGTGAGATTTACGGCTACATTGCAGTCACATGATCAACCATGATGTTGAATAACAGTCAACAGAATTACCCATCTCCTTGACCAGCTTCACTTGTGACATTAAAGAACAGCGCACATAACAGGCCAAACCTACCTACCTTGACTCGGTGCTGAAAGTAGGACTGTTACAAGCCAGCTGCACTGTAGATAGCTTTGTTCGTAGCTGTTTTCAACATGAGACGAGCTTCTTGCGGTCTCGGAACAGAAGATGTTTCTGGACTCTGTATTAGCACTGTGAGTACGTCTGATTTCGTGATTATGTTTTTAGTTGTTGCTTTTATCGTTCTAACTTTCCAAATGTTGTGCAGGTTCCCGAAATTCGTTGATGTCATTCTCTTTGACTGGCTCACTTTGGGATTATTGCTAGGATCATTAGCCAGGACTATTCTGAATAATTTAAATGGTCCTCTTTCTTTGGCATCTCATCATTTTCTAGTATTCTCCAGCTGACCGTCGCCAATGGCTATTTTACTGCATTTGTTTGCTTGTCGCTTTGTTTCATACCTTGTCCCACACTTTTTCAGCGAGTGCGAATAGACCATTTGTGAAGTCGCTAAATCCGCATATTCAGGATCCGTTAGAAGTATCGTTAGGTATTTTGAGTTGCGTCATTTGCGTCATATACTAGCAGTCGCTTCCTCGACGTTCTGCGTCACAAGATCCTCTACAGCAATGAGCGCTTACTGCCATAAACGAAGAAGCAATTATTTCCAATTTTAAATTTTCAGCGGAAAATCTGTTTCCAAATTTATTAAATATTTCATAAATTCACGTTTGAAATGTCTAAAATTATTTAGTTTTATTTTAGCTCTTGACGCTTGCGAAGTATTTGGAAACTCCTCTTTCTCAACTTGCGTTGAACTGAAGTGTTCGATGCTGGGATGGCCAGGGTGACGTTTGTAAAGTCCATTTCCAGTGCAAGTCTCCTCAAGTCGTATATTCTGCATATCGTGCCAAGAATTTGTCTTATAGATTTGTTCAATTAAATAAATTATTGATTTGAATGTATACCTTAATTTTTTTCAGATCTGTCGTTTTATCACGTAAATGTGTTTCAAAACTGTTTTTGAAAGCAGTGCATATTGGGGAAATCTCATGATCTGTCGCTGTCGATATGAATTTTTTCTGGTTTGATTATATGCTTCGTTGGAAAAGTAACATTATTTAATATTTTTTTTTACACTGCTGATTACTAGAGTTTGCATACATAAGGAGCATCTAACTGTAAAAAATGTGAAGACTTAAGTTGCGACTTAAATTATGCAACGTTCATGATCGTACTACCTGAACGGAATATCATGCAACCTCGGTTTAAGTTCAGTTTAAATCTTAAAACGTGGTAGTGTGAAATACCAGCGTGGAAACACTTCTCTCTCGTTTAATCAGACGCCTGTGAAGAGAAATATGACTTTCCATCTGAAACGGTTATGCATAATAAATCTGTATGACTCGACCATTTGAGCTTTGCCATTTTCATATGACTGCAAAATAGCAGCATCAACAGAAGTCAGAAATAATATTTTTCTTTCACTACTGGATTTAAAAGGCTCATAGGCACTACCCCTTTAAAATCGGGTGGTAAAAGAAAATTTTTCGTCAAAGGCGGTATCGAAAGCTGGCAGTGTGCTAGTAAATCCGTAACATCGTGTATATTTTGTTTATAAATTTTGTAATGGTACACTGCTGTTGGCTACTTTGTTCACTGGTCACTTACTTTCAGCTGATCTTTCCCACTTCTATCTGCACTCTTTTCAATCCAATATCTTCCCTTGTCAGACTGAAATCATTGTCTTAGGTCTTTTGCGTAAGCAAAGCCCATCTCACTCGTTAGTCCATTGCATTCGCAGCCTTTCAACACTTGCTATATGACACCGGCTACTGCATCGAAATATTCTTGTCCGAAACCAGGCCTGGGCCTGACTGTACCTTATTCCTACGTGTTTCATGCTGCTTCATTGCAAGCGTCTCCCATGTTTAAACTCCAACATGAGAACTAAAATGGCTGCAATAAATCTTGTACCCTCAATCAGTTTTTGAACATAGCCAACAGCCATCATTTCCCAATTTCTACATTTACTTAAGTCGTTGTGCTCAGAAAAGAACAGTCATTTCCTACGTGGTCCTGCCATTTAACCCTAATCATGCGTCGAAACCAACGTATTATTGGTATTAAACAAACCTTGCTCCTTTGTTAGAATAACTGTTACCATGCCATAAAATTGACAGATGCAGGCAGATTTTCGTGGGAAAAGTAATTGTTTTTTCTCAACCAAAATATTACACAGGTTTCTAAAACCAATCGAGGCTAAAGCGGTCCTTTTCCATTAAACTCTTCCCAGATAGTGTCATCACTGGGGATGACCAGCTGAGATACTTAAACTGATCAACCATCTAGTCAGTATCACCTCCCTGCTCCACTTGCTAATCACCTGTGCCGGATGGATTACACATAACTTCTGACTTGTTAGCAAAGAGGCCGCTTTTCTCCCCTGTATTGCATGCAGAAGCCGTCAGTCTACGCACCAAGGCAATATCATCTACATACAATATCTTGAACTGCGCTTTCCGTCTCGAATGAGACTAATTTTTGCCAGGCTCAACACTGTTTCAAAGAAAAATGCATCGAAGCTATTCTACTCAGGCGTCGATATCACGACGCGCGCTCAGGTCGATGTTGGTGTTCTCGTAGAACCCAACCTCGCAGTTAGAATCATTGGTTGAAGCCTCACAGCGGAAGGGTAATAATCCTCCGACTGAAGCTATAATAGGCTAAAGCGTTGACCTTGGTACAGGTCTCTGCTCTCAATTTAGAGGGAAAATAAGATTCTTTCCTTGTGTAAGTGCAACACGAAGTGCCGAATACGGAGTCCCTCAAACACATGAGCGATTTTGATGCGCATGTCGGAGAAGACGCTGAAAAGTGGAACAGCGTGGATGAAAAAAATTGCCCTAGCGACCTCAACAATAACGGCATGAAGTTGTTGCGGTTTTGAGCAAACAACGGACTGTTCATCATGAACACTTTCTCTGAGCATCGAAAAGTGCATCAATACACCTGTACCGGGAAGCTTGTGCACAGAAGTCGATGATCGA